GTTTTGATCATAAGTAGCTGTTTAGATATCAAATTTCAACATAAGATTGTCTTTTTAACTGAAGGTTAATATTTTATGTAAGAAAATGAACCAGCATGGGCATGAAATAGCCCAGCCCTTCAAAAATCCATGCTGCTTTCCTGAGTGAAAAAGAAATTCACACAATTTTTTTTTAACTTGTATTATTTTTCAGAAATGTTTGATTTAAACTGTAATTAGAAAAAATGTAACAATCAATAAATATGGATTAGAATTCCGTACATTGCCTCCCAGCTTTAGGATTACTACCAATAACTGGTGACTAATACATCTTAATTTAACAGTTTAATTATTATTCAAACTTGACAATAGGTATGCCATTAATTGTAAAAACCACCAATGTCAATAATAGTGGGAAAATGTCGGAACGCCAATATCTGACATATTATCATATAGTTTTGGGTCAAAACATATTATTAAGCATTCTTCGATAATAGAGATAAGGCGATAAGATAAAAAATAGTGCAGCCATAGACTTCACACTACTCGAGAAGAACTGTGGACAACAACAGCATTACGAAGGGAGTAACAACATCTCGCACTGATGTAGTCTGTCTTTACAACAATATACAATAATCTAAATATCTATATATCTTTCTACTACCCACATATAGGGTGCTACCTCAAGCGTACGAGTAATTGTGCAATCAAAGAGTGCTTTCCATACACTCATAGCTTGTCTAATGACTAATAGTACCTATAGGAATTCCTAATTTTTCAGAAAAAACCTAAAAAAGCTCAGTTTTTGCTAACCTTGAAATGGACCTAATCCCAAGTGATGAACCTACAGAAGAAAATATAATATAAAGTTTCTAATGAACGTGATGGGCAAAATATACATAAGTATGTTCAATTAATAATTTATATTAATTGCTATCAACTAGAAGATAATGATGTTTAGAAAGAAATATATATTACAGTCTATAAAATAGTACGAGTAACCACTAGGTACAGTAACAAATTTTAAGCAATGTATACAAAACATTATTGTAACAATTTAAGTAAATATTTATCGGTATAATTTTAATTAAATGTTCAAAAAAGTATTAATATTTATCGGTAACGTATTAATTTGGTGTTCAACAAGGCACTAAATATTTACGAAAGTTACTCACTGTGAAATTCGCTGTTGGTTGGCGGATAACCTGTTCTTCCTCGGACGATGTATCGGACTCGGAATCCGAGCCGGTTGCAAAGAATCTACTCATATTTGAAAACTATGGCAGTAAATCTGAAAAGCAAAACACCACTAATATGAAATACGGCAACAGTTTTAAATTAACACAAATGAAATGCACCATACCTAGATGTACCAAAAACGTGGAGTCGGAAAGACACCCTGGCAAATTACTTGCAAGTACAGTGATTAAATATCGCTATGGTGGGATCGGGTCACTAGCGAGCCGTGAGCGTGGATGCGATGCGGTGATGTTGATAAACAATATCACACCACGCCACGCCGCAGTGTAGCCAAAATAAAATATCAGTATGTGAAGGTGTCAAAATGATTTCTAGTTTTTACCGCCATCATATTTTTTCATAAAAAGTTATATATTTATCATATTAATCATAAAATAAATGTTAAGATGTTTAATCTGATAAAATTGAATATTATATTAGATACATAATCCTCTAAATAATATGTCCACGAGTATAATTAATGTATAATACTGAGTAGGTACTACAATAATTGCAATAATTTCTAGATAATAGTTTAACAAAGATTGTAAATTTGTATTGATAGGTATTACAATATCTAATGTTTTTACATTTACATTTTATTATTGCATAAAATAAGTACTATATCATTGATTGAATATTCTGTATTAAGTATTTTCAATCGACGACAATAATATATGACCTATTACCATTAGCGTTATGAATTTAGGACAGTTATATTGCATGTTGTATGGACGTATGGAAAATAATCCCCACACTAAGATATTATTAAAATGATACAATGAATAAATTAGAAATATATTAATATGTATGTAAATAAAAAAAAATTCATGCCACGATACCAATTGTTATAATAATAATATTAATAATTGTGTATAAATAAAAATGTATCTAATACAATATGACGTGATAGTAGCTACCACTACCAGGCACGCCCACAGAGATGTAGCTCACTAGGTGCAAAATATTTTTAATATCAATATAAGATGTGGGGGGCTTTGCCCCCCACACCCCCTAATCCTTATTACATGACATATATTATTTATCATCAATAATGGGTATATCAAAATATATTTAAAACATAACTCATTTTATTTATTACTTCTTATAAAATATAAAAATTAGATAGAATTTTAGATGTATAACACACACATACATATATATATATATAAATAATAGTGTACCACAGAATAGATGTCAGATAACGAAATTCATAATAATATTATTAATGACCAAAATAAATGTGTTAATAGACGCGTGGTTAGACGTGACTGTACACAGTACTAAAATGCGGCAGACAGTCGTGGTATCCGTATCTCAGAATAGCCAGATGCCAGAATAGCTAATAAGTATTTAATATTTACTATATTGGGAATAATCATGGGCATAAATTAAAAATTTACAGAGAAGGAACTTTTATATTTTACTATTTATTTGAAAAATCCAAATTATTAAAATTCTCAGGTGGTGCAACCTGCCCCCCCCCCTCCGGGCGTGCCTGACCACTACTATAGTATATTTTTATATTTAATTAAATTTAACATGACCGCCGATCTCCAGTATAATACCACTGGGGATTCTTTTGTCCAGAGTAGGGAATTTTTCTGAGGACTTTTTCTGCAATTCATATTACATGCCTATGCTGCAGTATGCCAATACTGTATTAATTACTCTTAGATTATAATATATAATGTACAATAACTATGATCCAAGCATCCCAAGCTATTACCAATCGATACTTCTTGTTATTTTAAAACCGTCCATCTTCCGAAAAATTGGATATTTATTAAACCTACTATAGTACTATATATTATATTCGATAGGATTACCTAAACATGTCGGGAAATTAGTAATTTAAAATAACTGTATGATAGGCCCACCCATTTTGTCACAATTTTAAAATATATAAAACTGTAAAATTATATTACAAAAAAACGTGTTTAGATATTTTAATTACCTGCAGAATTAACTATACTAATGAAAACTTTTATTTTAAATTTTCAATCCTTATCTGTAAAAATAGCTATTTTTAGCTCTATTTAAGTATAACAATTGAGCATATTATACATTTTACTAACCAAAATTTGCAAATTTTCGTGATTTTGACGTAATTTGTAGAAATTTGAACTTTAAATATTTCTTAAAAATCATGGCTTTTTATCTTTAATATTATTGAACTGCTATTATTTTAACTTATGGGCAGCCTTTTATTACATTTTCAAATTTTTTGGCTCGGTGAAAATGTTGTTATTATTGATATTTTAAAATACTGGGAGTTGTTTGCTTATGAGTTATGACCCCTTAAAATTAGGTACCAACAAAACACAGAAAAAAATGCTGAAATATAAAATTTTTACCACCCACAAAAATGATGACAATGTGAAAAACACAAACCATTATAAAATATGAATGTTCATGGTTTAAAATTAAATATTGACTAACATCAACTCATGTATACTACTATTAGTGCAGCCAATATGACATCCAAAATCGTGCAAATAGGAGTATCTACATGACAACAAACAACGTAGTCATTCAGATACATATTATTATCAAATAATTTGTAATCTAATCAATTCTAATGTCCAAATAGGTACTCTACATCGGCCCGGAGTAAAGTAAGGGCGGCTTCAGTATTTCTGTACGGAGGGGGATAAGACTACAGTCGTCTACAGACTACAATACCTAATTAATACTTGAAACATTTTTATACACATCTAAATTTTTAACACACTTCATATTGACGATAATAATAAAATATATATGTATAATAAGTGTATAGGTAATACTCTTTTTATTAATACCTATATTAAGATTTTACTGATACAACTTCGGGGGTTACAAGCATAGATATATACAATATATCTATGGTCACAGGTTATGCCCAGTTAACCATAGCACATCTATTTAGTTTTTGAGCTTTTTTATGTGACCTATTGGCTAAAAGTTGCTATATAGTAAGCAATCCATTTTTCCATTATATTATGTTTCGTTATCCTAATCGTCCATTAATTTTAGGATATATGTTATCATTTATAACGAATTAACAATAATAGTTTTGATTTTTTTTTCTGTAATTATATCATATTTTGAAAACACAAAATCGATTGTATATGACTATAATTATAACAGTTCGACCTAAAAAACAAGGGGTGTTAAATTTTAATTTGGGGTACTAAAGAATGCACGAATTCCGGAGTATAAGTTCCCAGAAAAAACCCTCTGCGAACAACCCCGGGAAAAAATCTCAGACCCTAAGAAAAAACCCCGGATTATAATATAACTCACAACCGCATAAGAATGATAGAACAAATATTATTTAAACGATTAAACTCTAATAAAATACTGTAATTACTAATTACCACATTATTAATATTTAATTTAATTACAAAATGTTTATGCTTATAAGCCTTATAAGTTATAATATAGGAATATATTATATATACCACGGAGTGTGGTATATCTTTAACCCATAAACATATTACGTATATATATGTCTATGCTTAAACTACAGAATGACTCTAACCATGGTAAACACATAGATAATAAAGATATGGATAGGACATATTGGTCTTATCAGCGGTCTTCGAGGGGAACAATTGAGGCCAAATAAAGTATACCTATATTGAGTATCGACTATCAATATAAAGGAGCCTCAATTGCCTTCCCCTCCGGGAACGCGGCCTCAAATGTATTTAACATAGGCGTGGCCTATCCATATCTTTATTATCTATGGGTAAACACCACATGCGGCCCGAGGTTAGGTTTATCTGGTTTATTTGATAAGTGATAACAGCGTAAAATAGTGTGGCTCCGCAAGCGCAATTCTCGCCGGCCAACACCGGAATTAAGGCACGTTAGTTTCAAACTGTTCCGTGGTTTCATGCCATGCCTTTGGCCATATCTATTCGATATCTTTGGATATAATTAAGATTAACCATATCGTAATTTGTGAGTCGTCGTATTAGTACACGGCTAGCCGACGATGGATCTATTGAGCAGACAAGGACTGAGGACGGACGGTCGGAGGTCCGGTGAGTTGCGCAGGATACGGTGCAAGATGGGTGTATTCAATCAGCCGGACGGCAGCGCGTACTTAGAACAGGGTAACACAAAAGTTGTGGCGGCTATCTATGGACCACACGAGGTACGTATTTTGATTGGGAACAGTTACTATTGTTCATAGTTTCAAGTTCTGTACGAGTTGATTAGCATTCAAATAACGTTTGTACTCCACACAGACATGCCCGAATGCTTAAAAATACTGACATTATGTTTTTCCTGTAAGAACTGTTGTTGAGAATGACTCAGTAATTTTGTGTTTAGATTCGAACCAATCGATCCAAAGCGCCCAACGACAGTGCTGTGATCAACTGTCAGTATAGTATGGCCACATTCAGTAGGAGCGAACGGAAACGTCGGCCAAGAGATAATAAATCAGCTGAGCTTACGTTGCATCTTAAACAAGCTATGACTACTGCAATCAAAACTGATCTTTATCCTAAATCTCAAATTGATATTTTTGTTCAGGTAATTGTTCAGATTTTTCAGTTAATGTTTAAATTAAGTTGGATTATTTTTGCAGTATAGTCTGTAATAATGATTTCTTAAAAAAGCATTAGTGCTTAGATTTGTGTGTAAGCATGATATTGGCATATATTGATGAATGATGAATACATGTCTCTAAATCAGTGGTTCTCAACCTTTTTTGGTTCACGGCATACTATTATACACCACAAATTTCCACGGCACACTCACGCACTTGACAACCACAACAACTTTGGAAACTTCGCTGAAGGCAATAAATATTGTCACGCGCCTATACATGTATGACATTTTAGGTGGCACATCTAGTCGATCTCGCTGCACAGTAGTGTGCCACAGCACACTGGTTGAGAACCCCTGCTCTAGATGCTCATTAAGAATCTTTATTTTACATATTTCTCTATATATTTCAGGTACTTAACTAATATTAAAGGATAATTTTTAATTCATTAAACCTTTAATTAAATTATTAGATTTGTCTTAGTAACTTTTGTGTGTCTTTTCTTATCTGTTAATTAATAACTTAATTACTGAGTAGGCAAAATTGTTTGGGTAAAATTTGTTTACTTTTTATAGTTATAGTCTATTAAATTTTAGACGTGGGTTCAGAGTTCAGTAACAAGTGTCAATTATTAATTCTAATTCATACTAATATATCATGAATTGTGTTTGAGAATTGTCATGTAAATCATAGACTCATTTTAGGTTTTACAATCAGATGGTGGAAATTATAGTGTATGCGTTAATGCAGCTACATTAGCCCTGATAGATGCTGGAATTGCCATGGAAGAATTTGTGATCTCTTGTACATCGAGTTTAGCTAATGGAGAAACGCCACTAGTGGACATTAGTCATCTTGAAGAGACAATGGGGGGACCCAGTCTAACAGTAGCAATATTGCCAATTTCTGGAAAGGTATGTACATTTGTTTTATTGTCAACCATTATTGTTTTTTATTAATCATATTTTATGAATTTAAACTCTAGATTGCTATGTTAGAAACGTCACAAAGAATTCACATCAATCATTTAGAACCTGTATTGACAGAAGCTGTCCGAGGATGTCGCTACATATACGAGAATTTAAATAAAATCATAAAAAAACATTATGAAGAGATAGGCGGTGCTTTAAATTGGGGAACTGAAGAGTACAATATTTAACATGAAAAAATTATTGACCTTAAAATAGCAAGTCAATACTTGATGTATTGTTATATATTTTTGTATAATTTATATTCCATGTAAAAATATGTGTATAATACATTTTTTGTTTATGACAACAATTACTTTTTTTATCAAAAAATAAAACAGTTTTATGCTAAAATGTGTTGAACATTTTATTTATTCTGATAAACTTTTAAAATAATTAAAAATTAGTCATTATTCAATTGTAACTTTAGTTAAATATGGGGTTGTTAAAATATATTTTTATTGAAAATACAAGAGTAAAATTAGTGGCAATTAGAATGTTTAAAAGCCGCGGCCCAAGCTTAATATTCAGCTAGTTTGTAACTGTTATTTAATTTTATAAATTATTAATACTAGTAGAAACTAGAAAAAACTAATCTTATGTATACTCATTACCCGATGCAGTAAATATAATTTAACAGTGAAGGAAAGTATAGGGGCCAGTAGAAATATGGTATGTGTTAGTGCTTTGTAAGCAATAATAACAAGAGTTACTAAAAACGTCTTTTAAATGATTACCAAAATCAATTCAAATAAAATAAAGTTAAATGTATTTAATGATCTATAAAAAAAAAAAATGTTATTTTCTTTGATTATCTTTTGTGTTTATATTATGTTCCTTGTTTTTCTTCACTTTGAATCAAATCATTTTTTAATTATATTTCCTTGATAAAAAAAAAAGTTTTTTATCTGTCATTAGTCATTAGGGTATTACATCTGGGTTAATAATTGTTTATAAATATTTGATAATACTGAGTAACACTGAGTTTTTTATAAGTATTGAGTATGTTTATGTCACTGCAAAAACAGTGGTCCTCTGTACTTGTATGATTTGATTTTTTGAACTTAGCATTCTTGGATAATTTCTATATTACACATTTATAATATATTTCCCTGTCTATTCCATTGAATGGTAATTGTAAGTTGATTGGTATCTTGTATGGTGTATGGCTGTGAGCTCACATTTCTCATGATATAGTTTTTTTGTTGTCTCATACGTTTATGAATTTATGGCCCAGTTTGTTTCATTATAGTTGTGCTGAAGAGGGATTTTTTATACAGCGTTTGTGGTAATTTTTGTTTTAAATTTCTGAAATAAGATGGTTGGTAAAGTAAGTAAGTAGTTTATACTAATTTTTACTGTTCCCGGGCGTGACCACACCCACCAATTAATGTTAAATTATAAAAAATGTATAACATAATTATGTTTGTGAAAATTTATAAGTGAATACAAAATTGTGAAAATTGTAATAAATTATCATTTTGTTATATACAGCTCATTTGTAGAGGGGGGCTATATAAGTTACTGTTGACAAGGCCACATTTTTTATCTTACCTAAGGCCACAAAATGCCTAAATCAGGCCCTGCCAGTACCTGAAGGTCGGCGTGCCGCCGCGGAGACTCCCGCATGCTAGCTGGGTCCCGTTGATTCCTCCGGAGGATTTGCTGTTTTTCATCAACGAGCCAGGTCGATGCCATTCTTTTTATGTGAGTGTAATTTTTGTAATTATTTTGTATTTATAATTATATATGGAGATTGGAGCGCCCTCCTTTGTGTCATTACACCACTATTTATGTTAAGTTATAAGTTTATAACAATATAATAATTTCGGCGCTTAATCCGCCGTTCATAATCGTCGAGCTTTATCTATATCTTTTTTGGTCACCTTTGCTCATCTCCTAAGCAAGTCACGGCAAACAACTGCCAAATTTTGTAAGAGTTGTCGTGGCGCAACACACTATATTTCATATACCTATGGGCTATGGCATAAATTTATATTGTATAATATATTTAGTACCCCAAAAACAAATTATGCTTTAATAATCTGAAATAGATACCTACTATAATTTTGCTTAAGCAAATAAATCCGAGAAATCCAGGTACGAGATAAGATGACAACAGACGTCCTTTACCTAGGAAACTTTCGGGTTTCCGGTATCATACTTTTACCTTAAAGCATATTATTATTTATTATACATTTTATACGGCGCTTTGGGTATGCAATTTACGGTAATATTTTTCATTATATACTGCTACTTATTACTTATTATTTTATTAAGTACTACACTACTTTTACATAATTTTGTGTATTAATATATTGTAATATTTATAATGCCATAATAAGACTTTTAGCCACCTACTTTTTCATAATGAAATTATATTGTATATTATAATTAATATTTATTCGCAGTTGCTTATACTAGTATCGTCAATAATCCCTTATACAACGTTTATTTCCCGTAATTAATCATAAACTATCTTGGCTGTTTAAGATTTTTGTGTTAAATTCATCTAAATAAACTATACCTAGTGTGAGTAAGAACTAAGAATATACTATTCAACTAGCATTTTGTACTTGCATTTAAACAGTATTTAATTATTAAAATGTCTTTTATCCATAGAAAATACTTGGAAATAAACGAATAAGTACTTAATAACCATTTCACTAAACAGTAAACTGTACCTATAATGGTATTGAATTTTGCAATATAATTGCATTTGCTTCATGTTTGTAAAATTATAGGAAAATATAAGTCAATAATACATTTTAGATTTAAACATAAAATGGGTATATTTCAAAACTATGTCTTAGAAATTGTTTTAAAACCGTACAAATTCATTTGGACAACATTGAATTAGTCTGTATAGTGCGTAAATAGATTAACACATTTATGAAGTCGAATAATATTATGCAAACGACATCTGAATTAAAACTATACAATCAATATGGTGTTATAATTCTATTTGAAGACTTACCTGGAGATTCCTAAGAATTATTTTTTCTTTGTTTGTTGGTGTATATTAACCGGAGAGATATTACAAAACTGTCGTTGTATACAAATTTGTCACTGACCACTGCTATGGTCAGTAAATTTGGAATAGCCTAGAAATTATGAGTTAGGTTATCGAGGAACTACCAGTTTTAAAATAATATGTTTTCATTTTGCAACAATAATTATTGTATTCTTGCACTGAGTTGAAAAATAATTTTAATCGAACGTATTGTTCCAAATATTGTTAGACAGTAACTATTGTGTAGATTTTTTTATACACGAAATGATGATATTCACTTCCACTTGATTATAAGACTGAAACAATAATAATATATATTTAAATTTTTTGAATTTAATCAATGACAACGCATTATGTTGTAAATACTTGTATGATTGGCGAACTGTCAGTAAATATACTTCGCGTAGGTATACACGTTATATTATATTTATGTGTAAAATAAAAACAAATATTTCTGAGATCAGATTTTATTTTATCCCAACAATCGTATACAACATCTGAACGGATATGTTACATTTAAAATATTAAAAAGCTGTAAACTGCAGCAAAAGAGAATTGATTAAGTATGATATCAACATATCAAAACATCTCATTGTATATTTTTTATTTTTTACAATGTTTAGTAAATGGACGCTTTTTAGTAGTGAAATTTAAATTTTTTCGCCAGGAAACCGTAATATTTTGTATACTAGACAACAAGTACCAATTAAAAATTAGGTGTAATAACTTAATACATTAAAAATTAAAATAAAAAACAACTAAAACATACTAGTCCGATAAAACGTTTATACACAAAATAGTAATCATTTTTATTAATATATGTATATATTTATATATATACTACCTAAGTCGGTACTGTACACGATTCGCAGAGGGTAGGGATAGGGGAGGCGTTTTGCCACCAAAATCTCATTAGGAAATGGTATAAACGCTTATTTAATCATTAAAAAAAAAAAAAAAAAAATATACATATATCAACGGGTCACGATATTTATCCATTTATAATAAATAATAATAATTTACATTAACAATAATCCCTCAAACACAGCTCGAATACTCGTATTATGTATTATGAATAGAACATTTAATAACAATGAAAAATAATAAAAACGTCTCTGCCCATGGGCGTATTGTTAAAATTTGAGCATTTGAAAATGTACACGGTTATTATTTTGTTTCGTATTTTCAAGATATTATAATATTGAACGTTCATATAATGTCGGTCAATATTATATACATAATTAATCGAATGTACCTACCATGTTATGTACAAAAAACAAAACACGTGATTTGTTAAGTATTATGTATTCGAGGGAGAGTATTCGTAGGTATATATATATATAATATGGACAACCGAACAAGAGTGAACGATATTTTAGTTCGAAAAATCAACCACGACAAGACTACATTTTTAGAACGACTCGAATTGTTTTTGAAAAGTTTTTACAAGATTTAACGGACTTCGCGGATTATACACACGGAAATTAACGGCGTTAAATATATATATATATGCCAGTCGGATGGGTGTCCTCCATGTTTAATATAATATAATAATATTATTATACTATTATATTGTCATGTGGTGACGACGAGCTTTTATAATATATTTCGTACTAAATTCCTATTGTGTGCCGCAGATTCGTCATAACTATACATTTGTTTTTTCTCATTAAGTTTACCTATATAATATAATCAATAATAATTAATAATAATAATAATAATAATGACGATGATAATAATAATAATAATAATAATAATAATAACAAAACAAATAAACAAAATTAAATGAAAAAAAAAAAAAATCAACATCCATAATATTATAATATACTCATTAGGTATATATAGTGTATATATATATATGTGTGTGTGTGTGTGGGTAAATTTGGCATCGTTTAAGACTAGAACGATACGGCGTACGAATCATCGACAGTGATCATATTGTTATAATAATATATAATTATGTATTATTAAAAAATATTAGGTACCAACAATAATTATTGTAATATATTATCGCATGCGGGGGAGTAACGCGATGACGACAAAATGTTTGCAACATAATTCGGTCGTCGCCGGGCCCGATAAGATGGAATGACACACAATAATTTATTATTGCAGACGGACTTTTCCCGCGGTCCACGCAAGACGCGTCTGTAACTCAGCGCAAGTGTTTCACGCAACACGAGACGACGTGTAAATTTGGAAGTACCAAAAATTACGCGTTCAGCCTCGGTAGTGGAAGGGGGGCACCGTGGTTACCGAGGTCCGTATGTGTATACCGCGGTCGGAATCGGTGGTACAATGGTGGCATTATTGTACCGGTGGTGCCGCGGTGGCCGAGGACCCGATGATCGCACCACCGATGTTTGCGGCAGCTGCGGCGGCTGCGGCCGCTGTGGACGGTTCGATGCCGGTCTCGGAGTCCGGACTTCCGTAGCCGCTCGACCCGTCGTCGACTCGTCCACCTCCACCTCCACCTCCTCCGATTCCTCCTCCTCCTCCTCCTCCCACGACGACCGTCGATTTATGTGCAGACAGCACCGTACCACCGGCTGCTGCGGACAGGAACTGGTGGTGCTGTTGCATGTGTTGGTGTTGTTGCACTTGATGTTGTTGATGCTGCTGCTGCTGCTGCTGCTGTTGTTGTTGTTGTTGTTGTTGTTGTTGTTGTTGTTGTTGTTGTTGCTGTTGTTGCTGTTGCTGTTGCTGTTGTTGTAGATGTTGTTGCTGCTGACCCGATGCCGGTGATGCTGTTGCGCCGCTGTAACCGATGGCGGCGGTGTCGTATGGTGGTAGAGGTCGCCGTTGCTGTTGCTGTTGCTGTTGCTCGACCGAGGTGGCTCTGCACCTGTCCACCTCGTCGATCGGTCCTACAACGTCTCCTGCTGTTGCTGCTGCTGCGTGGGCGTGTTCGTTTGCCGCTGGCTGCTTAAATGGCAAAACAGAAAATCGTAGTTGAAAGGACATGTCAATAATTGTTCATGGTCGTATTAGTATTAGGTATGCATAATAAAAGTATAGGTAGTTATCAATCGATCGACCGGAAAAGTCAATTTATCTTGATCGGAAAACCGAGATTTTTTTATGAAAATTTGTCGATCGATTGGCAAGAAACCTCGCCCAGCGTACATCACAAGGTATATACGTACCCACGCGAGCAAAATGGCGTGAAATTCCCTTTTTTACTGTTTAGTTTTTTTTTTAAATAATATTATTAGTGATTTATTATCGATTAGGTGTGTGTGTGGGTGTGATTGTATAGGAGAACATTATGAGTGTATGTCACTATGTCAGAATGTCGCGGTATACTCGTATATATGAGGTGTATATTGTGAATTTGCGATGGTATACATGTATCGGAAACACATGTAGGTATATGCATTATAATTCACACGTTAGCTTGCACTTATATAAATAAACTTTTAGACGACGTCTTCTGGACTGAAATAGAGTGGTTTTCTCTAGAGGCTACAATTCAGTAAACAAACAATAGCGTCGATTGAAAATATATCTTTATTACCTAAGTATTGATAACATACCTCCCCAGACGGAATTTCGAATGTTTATGATTTTTAATAAAATGTATTATACATTTTATCATTTTTTTTTTTGAGCCAATGACATTGCTGGAAATTACTAGATATAAAAATAATTTTAATTTTGAACATTACACGCTATTTGATCAATAGTGTTATTATTTATCATCAAACTATAATCCCCGCATCAGTAAAAATAATGAATAATCGTTGCACCAATTAACGTATTAACCTATATAATGAATCTATTCACGAGTAGCTAGTTAGTGGGAATATTTTAATTATTAATTTTTTAATAACTGCAATTTGAAGTTCAATTTTATATAATTACCGTGTATTTTTTATGCCATCATTTTGTTTTTTTATTTAAGTGGCTTTTAAGTAACAATTAAGCAGCATTTTTAATTATTTTAAAACAAATAATAATTTTTCATCTTTAATATTATACCCATCGAAAACTTAATAGGGAGAGTAAGCTAAGAGTACATTTTCTTATAGCTCTTCTATGATGCATGCAGTTTTTGAATTTATTCGCCCTACGGAATACTTTAAAAACCTTTGCATTTAAACGTTTTTATGTTGATAAGTAATGTGCACATTCGGGTACATACACGTACGCCGTACACTCTATAATGGTAAAAAAGTTGTTGTTTTATATGTTATACGATGCATTTTTTATGATATTTCCAGAGTCAGAAAGTTCCATTTATATTGCACACGCATAAATGTGCCTGTCAGTTTTGTGAGTACTCTAGCTATCGCAATTATTAATGTAGGATCATAAAATTTTAAATTGAAACACAGTCGTCGTCTAAATACAACGTGTAGTTTTATTGTGACGGTAGCGTACGATTATCATTTATTTCCGCCGATACAGGCAATGTACGCGTATACATAAATTATAACGCATGTCAATAATACAAGTTTATACAGAGTGATTCACCAAGCATGCTCACCTTCATTTTTTGCTTTAAAAATTAATTTATTCAAATTCCGTATTTTTAAAATTAATGTACCATAATATATTCGTATTCAAATATTAAATAATTCGATATATGAGGAGTGTTCTGAGTTACCAACTTCTTAAAAAAGAGAGAATTACCCCTTTTCATTGTAAGCCATTGAACAGATTAATTTTTTGAAATTTTAATGAGCAATACTTATTGAGTTATTTAACTTTGAGCACTAAGGGTAAATTAGGTGGTAGGTTCACGAAAGTAACTAATATAAGTAGGAATATGGGGCTATGGTTTTTTGAATATAACTATAGTAATTAATATTAAATTGTCAGAGTAGGAATAACAGGTATATAAGTAGATTAAATAATAAACCTACATCTATTTTTTCTAAAATATTTTAAAGACTTTGATCCTTAGTATACCTATTCATTTTAATAAATTCGAAACTATTTTCTCGAATTTTGAGTTCGATACATCAACATTTTCAAAAAACCACCTGCTCAACGATTCATAGTAAAAAGTTGGTTTTTGTTTGAAATATAAATTTGTATCACCATAAAAAAAAAATATTCAAAAACTTTGTATTTGAAAATTCTTAGAATATGAGTATACTTAAAAATTCTGGAAATCAGAATTCGAAGAAATTAAGTGGGTAGGAAAAAATGGGATGAGCAATGAGCATGTTTGGTGAAGAATCCTGTAGACTGTAGAGTATAGATGATGCCTTATATAAAATCGTGATTCGGCGGTTACAACTGTTGGGGAAAGAAATGTATACTGTACTCGAACGTACACTCTTGTCGACTTCACACAAAAACATCGTTGAACTTGATAAATAAATAAAGGTAATTATTATCTGACACAGTGACACCACCTCGCAAATTAAACTGTAGTTATGTATGTACAAAATTGTATAGATAATTATCATACGAGTTGGTGGGCGTAATGTGTGTATGTGTGTGTATGCGTGCATATGGAAGCAACCTTGACAATCGACGGATTTGAACATTTCGAACGATCTAACGTATGGAACTAAGAAACTTTTACGCATTTATAATATAAAATATCTAACTGAAACTGGGATGGCATAGATGAGTGGTCTTTGCGGGCTGCGTACAAATAATTATAGGCCAGGTAGGTACATATAGAGTCATACTATCATAAACCATAGTAGTATGTTTACATAATATTATAGAACCTATGTATAATGCAATGCCGTGTTAACAAATTCACTATAGGTAATGGCAATTATTGACAATATTTTTTTTTATAGCCCTTGTGCCTAACCTATGAAATAATTAATTTTAGTTGAATATCCAAATTTATCCACAGTTATCATAATAAAATAAATATAATTTGAAAGTATGAATATTTGTACGAATCATATGGGAGAGCATTCGTCAAAAACAAGTAAGTTGCCTCGTGTGACCCCCCCCCCCCTGATCACATCACAATCACTGGATTTAGTCGTATATTGAAACATGTCTTTGGTGCTCAAGTAAGCGTTATACATAGTGTTGGGTGTGTGTGCGTGTGTGTGTGTGTGTGTGTGTGTGTGTGTGTGTGTGTGTATTGTGTTACGGTGTGGTGCGAGTATAGGGCTGCCCCATCGAATGTCCTACCTGCAATCTACTGACTTGCCTTCTTATGTGCGCCAGACTGGACGAGTTGTACGTGGCCATGTTGGCGAACACCAGCCGTTCCTCGTAGTCGTATTCGCACAGGATCTTGTTCTCGCACAGGTAGAAACGATCGCCCACGCAAAACCTGCAGACACACGACCACGTGAACGTTACTAATATATATTATATTTAGTGTGCGCGTAATTAATGACGTGCAGCAAAACGTTTCGTATCGTCTCGACACGCCCGATGTACGAGCGGGCAGACGCGTTAGAACCGCGAGTGTCACATATAATGTAATAACGCAATATGTACACGGCTTACATTTTAAATCGTGTATAATATACGCGATAATATTATATATTATTACGTACATTATACACGACGCGCGTACGTATATTTATAATTTATTATTGTTAGGTGTTTTTTTTTTTTTTTTTACCTATGATTACACTGTTGACACGCGAAACACTCTAAGTGGTAGACGTTGTTTTTGGCCCTCATCACCATCTCGAACGCCGGTATTACCTTGTTGCACGCCGCGCAATTGCCGGTCGCTCCGAATAACCTGAAAATTACATTAGCCTTACATGAATATTATAATATCGTGTCGGCGATTAAGTGCGACGGCGGCGGGTTTTGTCCGTGTAAAATAAAACGCACACACTCTTGGAGACTCTTTAATACCTACGCGAGTGTGTGTGTCCGTTGTTCAAAACCCCGGTGTGGCTGGTCGGGGGTGAGTGCGAGAAAACGGGATGGGTATATAAATTTAGGATAAAATATTGTTCGAATAATATAATAATAATTATAATATCGGCTATATTGTGTATATATATATAAATATAACCGTTGGTTTTCTCGGCGTCCATATTATAATATATTATGCGTGTAGGTACGAGGTACCCATAATAGTATGTAGGTACATCATAAGTTATAACACTGATAAACCGATTTAATGGATTTTTGACGTTTAATTATTAGACGCGAGCGTAACGCGTGTTTGTGTGTGTACTGGTACACCTTCTTTCTGGCCCGGCACAGAATATTTTAATAACAGTATAATATTTTATACAGTCCTATAATACACTACTATAATATAATATGCACTATACATCTATATGGTACGTTATATAGGTATACGAGAACACTTTGCACAACAGATGTTCGCGTTATACCTAATCTACGGGACGCCAAAACGAGATGCGTTTTTGATTTTGATAAACACGAGCATGACCGACCGCGTGCGTCGACGCCTCTGGCGAGTATTATCTCGTTATAATCTATACACAGATAATCAGATATAATATGCACAAATATATAATGTACATAAAACATATTCTGTATATATAATATAAATAGTACCAGTATAATATCGCGTCGTCGTCGTTGTTGTTGCATTGGTTCTACTTTAAAACAAATTTTTTTCAACTGCTGAGTCGATTTAAGAGTTTCTTCATTTCAAAGACGGAGGGCTTATAATTGGTTTATAATTTCTGCAGATTTTTAGTTCCTCGGAGCAAAATGTGTCTATTTTGTGTCTTTTGGCGTTATTTAACACACAATACATTAATACCACATTTTAAAAATAAGTCTATTTCTGAACCGGTCCGAGCAAATAACAAATCAACAGCTTCTACAGCTATAATACATTACACGTTATAATACGGAGCGTAAATGATATCGAAACGAAGAAAATGTAAAAAAAAAAATCAATAACCTAATTTATCACATTATTCCTAACCTTATTTTTTCAATAACAACAAAAAAAGAAACAGAAATTGTATTTCGATGTTAAAAGAACAGCTAGAACAATGCATATTACATTGCATACTACACGTTTTTGCTCATTATTATGCACGTTCGACAATAGAAAATTCTAATTTGTAATTATATGCATGTATACGGGCGCATAAATAAATAAAAAATATAAATAATTTCGACGATTGTTCGCGTTTCCTGTTGACTGTTATAGTATTATGTGTTGATAAAAATGATAAAATTACACCGTATTAACATTTGATTATCAAACGATAAAAAAATTATATGACGAATAACATCCTATAATAGTATGAATAATAGAAAAATGAATCAATCTCCGGAAGGTTTTATTCGGGAGGTCTTATTATTATACTCTTGTCGTGAGGGACGGTCACGTGATATTCGTTCATCAAATTAATTCGGTCGCCCAAACGCGACGACGACGACACATTGTCCGTGTCCATTCATTAGAGAGAAAAGTTTGCCGAATGACGAAGTCTCGTCCACACGCCGAGGGGTGCGTATCAGGCATCTGTGTGTGCGAGTATAGTTAAAGGGGTAGTAGTATGTATGTATAATAATAGTAAAACAGTCAGCCTGCCCCATTTCTAAATATATATATATATATATATATATTAACTTGACTGGTTAATATGTGTGTGTGTGTGTGTGTGCTTATATATACGTGCAGATTGTGTTTTCCGTCAGCGGCAGAGAGTTGACTTTTGTGCCGGGCCAAGCAGCGGCGTTTTGGCCGACATACGGTTTTAATTAAATTCAACAGCCGCCGACGGGCTATGGAGAGAGAGACAGTGAGTGAGCGAGTGTGTGAGAGAGAAAATTCCCCCTCTCCCCCCACCATCGTAATTTCCACTCTCTGCGATCACTTTCATAAACGGATTTAATTGAATCCGGAATAGGTGTCTCTCCTCCCACGCACTCGGCGCCCATTCGACGCGATCCTCTAGACTTATTTTTATTTTATTTCCATTGCTGATAATTCGGCATTCGCGCTAATTAAACCCTTTCCCTTCACCAACGTCGTCATCTCCTGGTCCTCCCATTTCACCATTTACCCTACCCACCGTATACGTATATACAGAAAAACAACGACACAACAATACGACTACGTTGCTGCACCGTAAAGCTTTTATAGTATATACATATAGTAAGTATAATAATATACCCCTGTCCGTTTGTATAATAATGTATACATCGTGGACAGGGACAAGACATTACATTTTTCATTTACAGTCGTTTACGGAAATTCCTGATTAATCAGCCCCGAAAATAATTCACAACGCTTTGCTGCAGAACGACCCGATACCCATCGAAAGGAATTAATATCAGAAGGAAAACAATTTCGAGTCGCAAAACCGGCGGGGATCACCTATACGCATCGGGATCGCGCGCGAGTCTCTTCCAATTATTTAATAACTCAGATTCGGACGACTATGTGTGCCAGCTCGAGTCGGGTCTGTTTAAATTTCACAACCCATAATTGATTGACAAATGACTGAGGCCATCGGTTTCCTTACCTGAGGTAGTCTCTTTTGCAAAGTATCAGGTTGGCTTTGGTGTACAACGTGGATCCGACTTCGCCCAGCCGACAATCGCAGCAGCCGCATTTCAGACAGTCCTCGTGCCAGAACAGGTCCAAAGCCTTGAGCAGGAACCGTTCGGTTATGCGTTTGCCGCAGTTGGCGCACTCCCTGGCTATCATCGCCGTGCTGCCGTTCAGACCCGTTAACGTGGTCGCGGTCACTGTACCGCCGTTGGTCACCACGCCGCCGTTTGTTTGTTGATGTTCTATAAAGGACAACGGGAAAGATAGTGTTAAAATCTTTGTAAAATCATACGGCTTAAGAAGTATTAAACACTAACAATAATACGCTAACCAAGCGAATATCATTATATCATAATATTATAAAGAGGCAGTAAATAGGTTTATATATAGAACCAAAGCGTCCGGCGGAGTTTGAAAAAATACGTCAAATTATTGTTCTTGTAGATAGAAAAATAATAATTTTTAAGTCGGGTATACAGTTGTTTTAATTAATAAATTATTGATACGGAATTATCAGGGAATTATTGCGGTAGACTAAGTCCGTTTGCAAAACTTTTGTAAAAACTAATTATGTAAGTAGTGGAATGTATACATCTCATTACTGTTGTTGATGACGGTTTTTATTGATTAAACTTATTCAATTCACTCACCCAATAGTATAATGTATGTCGTATGGGAATACGAATTTCTTATATATAGGTGCAAGATCGATTTAATCGCCACGTGTAGTTTATGTTTTCGAAAATATGTTAACTAATTTAAAGTGTTGCTTGACGTTTTTATAGCAAATAATATTTATAATTATATTTATTTTTTTTTTATAATTTAATAACCGTATTTCACAAAGCATAATAAATTGTATAATGGTAACGTAAAACATAAAAAAATTGCATTTATTCCAAACGATTAGCTTACAAATAAAAAAGGAAAAATAAACAATTGCAATTGAAAATTTGTTTTGCAGCGATGTTGTTGTAACTAATGAAGAGGAAAAAACGACGGTATATCCTGTCAATATCAAAGTAGCGTATAGTTACATTGTTTGAAATTTGCCGAACAAAATATTGCAAATTAAAGTACACAATGTAGAGGTTTCGTCTGGGCTCTTTAATTACGTGCCGGCTAATTTTTATTTTTTAATAAAAATTAATACCATGAACTGCGCTTGTAAAACAGCGGCTCACCCACCGCCACCTTCTCTTACACGCTGCACGCCATTACATTATGCATCATCCGTCTTTTCAAACTTAATTTTAAACTTCTCATAAACGATGCTCTAAACTTATTTCATTTAAATTTCATTTAATTTGTATAGATATATACATATATATATACCATCCGATTCCCGCGCCCGACGAACATCATCCTCCAGACTTTAATGAATTTTACTCGCCACTTCCCTCCACCCATTCGACCGTCCATCAATTTAATCCCAAAATCGACTTAATGAAAGTTCCGCTTTCTTCACTACTACTACATCCTACGAGACACGACAATACTTAAAGCTGTTTTACAATGGACTTTTCCCCACATTTTCTCCCCACTCCCATACTCGCCGTCTATACATACATACATAGTATACCGCGGCACGGTTTCATCGATTACAGAAAAAAAATTCAAATTACCGGTAAATTATTTTACAATAGTGAATTTATTTACAACTACAGTCGTCTTATGTGTGGGTAATTTTAGATCCGATCAACGTGGTAATATTATTCAAGTGTAATCGACGTCGAGGGGAGTACATACTTATTAGTTATTATACATTATTTTTATACTAAAAAAAGTAATTGTATTACATATCGATAATATTCATTACAAATTGTCTACATCAACGCGTATAATGTACCCACATGGGTACGTTATACGCACAATAATATTATGTACACGTAGTAATAACGTTAACGTGTATTGACTATATAATTTTCAATGCGATTAGTGCAGTAATATCACTTAAGTACGTAACAAGTAAAATAAACATGACAAATAATTATTTTTGTTAAATAAGTGTTTGATAACTTACAAGCATACGTAATATTATTACTGCGTACATCTATAAGAGCATGTTCGAGTATATTAGGTGGCCGGTATACAGTAAAGTATAAGAAAATGATTTATAATACACTTGAATAATACAATCACAATAAAAGAAAAAAAATGCCATGCGCTTTTGAATAATGTGACGCATTTCATCCGTGTATTAGGTTATTCGACGATTGTCATAAAGCATCATAAAAAGCATACAAAATGCATTCAAACGGCGGGAAGAATGTACGACCACTTAAGTGAGTGGGTCTCCTCGTAGGGAAAGCAAAGAGTGTAAGCTGAATCGGTAAAAAAAAAATTGAATTAAATAAAATGAAAAAACTTTGATCAATCGATAAGACGTCTCTAAAAGCATTTTAAAATGTAAAAAAGAAAAAAAATTAATTTTATTTATTTATTCTAAAATATTACAAGGTCTTTTCGTATTATGAGCGTGTGGCATTTTGATGCCGGCAACATAATAATCCACTTACCGCGGTGGATTCCTCCAATAATAAAATCTCGCTGGCCACGGAAAGCGCATATATCTATATATATAGTTAATGGAATCGCTTTTTATTGCACTTTGATCGAGATATCTCTTTCAAAATAAGTCTCGGTGCGATTTTTCCTCCCCTTTCTTCGTTTAAAATAAATAAATAAAAATAATATAATTATGTTAAAAAGAAAAAGGATTTCTGTCCTGCTCGTAATAGTGGCTTTCCATTAAGCTTCCGAGGGGTTTTATACTGCCCTTAGGAGCCGGACAATCCGGGTACGAAATGGATTCCGTAGTCGCGTTGCTCCCGCAGCAGCAAACGAATGTCACGACGTGGACGTAATTAATCTTAGTTTTTAACTAATTACCTTTCTTTATTTCTTTTTTTCATCCCCCTCACTTGTCTCGCAGGGTTGGGATCCGAAGGGGTAAAACGTGGAAAAACATTTTCTAAACCGTATTATTCTTTGTCGGTTTTTTTTTTTTAATAATCCGAGAGAGCCCGGGGAGAGAAGGAAATTATATACTTTAATTATTTCTCTTTTTTTCTCTCCCACCGTCACTGCTACCGCCGATTTAATTAGTACGGTTAAAAAGAAAGGTTAACAGAAAAATAAAATGAAGCCCCTGCACACCACTTCTCACTTCTCCCACCACCGCCACTGCCACCACTACCACCATCACCACCACCACCAGCAGCCGGTGAACATGCGAGGTATAAAGAGTAACAGGGACGTAGAGACATGGAGGAGAAGAGACTAAAGCGGTTTTAATGATTTTTTTTCGCTCGGAAATTGTTAAAATTAAAATTAATTTTGTACAAAAAGAGAACGTATACAATAATAAAACGCGCTTAGAACTTTTTTCATTTCACCATCACCGGGCGCGTCGAGACACCTCTCTCCGACGTTTTGATGTGGCATCTGTGATATGGTAAAGTTTTAAAATTAAACAAACATTTTACGAACACGTCGTATATCATTTTTTTGTTGCTTGTCCCTTTCTATCCTTCCTTATACATATATATTTAATGTGGTTATTTGTGTTTTTCTGATTCTGGTACGGTAAAAAACTATGCGGTCGTCAAATTTTTTTCATCTCACACGGTTATTATCGTTATTATTATGAAATCACGACGGAAACGATTTAATTCATCATACGCTCTAATCGCGTCAAATAATTATTTTATAACTGTTCACAATATTTGTTAGTAATACTTTGAACAGAGTTCGATATAAGTAACAGAGTATAACTTTCCAAATAAACCCTAAACTCGCTTTAAGCCGTATACAATACCTTTACACTTCAAAGGTATATTGAAAGATAAATAATTTATGTTTAGGTAACGGAATAAACTTAATTTTAAGACACTTTTTAATTTACATCCTAATTTATGTGTACAAAACAAAAACAATTTAATCAATCCGTTATATTAGCGAGAACGACGCGAAGAAGGAAAATAATATCATATTTATTTTTTATACTCGAATAAGCTTAAAAGTTTTAATTAAGCACACCGGTTTTAAATTAACCATATATACAAACGTTTTAATAAGCATTTAAATTATGCAAATACAACAATATGATTTTCCATGAGCAGACATTTTAAATGTAACGACATTTTACGAAATATAAATGCATTTTTTAAACGATCATAAAAATTAAAAAACACAAGAAATAATTCAAATACATTATACATTTACAAG